AACAAAATGGCTATTTTTGTAGTGATTTTATAACATACTTATGTTATAAATTTTTTTATAAAAATAATTATATATATATATATATATATATAAAATCATTTTAAGCATAGAATTAATATTCATAATCCATTTCAGAAATTTACATAAGATGATATTGCTTCTAATAATGTTTCTTTTATGTGTTGTGTCCCTTCAGAATGTAGCTATCATGGCTCTCTGCGAATTCCTGTCTTTTGTCATTAAGTAACTTTTGACTCTTTATCATCTTTGTCCTTGTTCTGCTGTCTATTTGAACAAGTTTAAATGTGTTATTGGCTGTTTTCCCTGTGTTATGATAGGTATTCTCCCTGACAGATATAGTTTCATCAAGAGAAGATAAATCTTTTGTAGGTATGTCGATACTGCCTTTTATGCAGTACCTAATTTACATATCACTATACCTCCCTAAACATAAGAGCCTTTTTATACTAAAGGTATAAAAAGCCTTTGATCTTTGGTTTCTATGAACAACTCTGGGAGACATAATCCATCTCTCAGAGTGAGTCTCTTTATTTCTTTTTAAAGGAGATCTAGGTCTTAACTGATTGTTCCTCATTTGAACCATCATTATACCTCTGGTCACTCTCATCCCCAGATTGTTTGTCACTACTACTGGATACACTCATTCTCTCCTCCCTCTTCTGTTCTTCACTTTCATTTCTCTGGTGATCTTTCTGATCACTCTCAATACTGGATTCATTCATTCTTTTTTTGTGTTTTCTCTTCTGCTTCCTCTTCCTCCTTCTTTTTTCATAATTTCATGTTCTCTTGTAGTTTTAAATTGGTCTTCATGAACCAGTATACCCTATTCATTCATCGTTCTTGTCTGGACTTGAATCCTTGTCCTTTCTGTACCACACACTTTCATTCATTGCAAATGAAATGGTAATCGGAGCTCTTATTTGTCTTCCCATCAATGTGGCTGAACTTTGTCTTCTGCCTGCATGCAGAATAGCTCTATAACTTAGGAGTAGGCTGGGTAAATAAGTCTCTATATCACAATCCACTGGAGAGAATGTTTTTAATCCCATTTTTACAATTTGAACCATTCTCTCTGCAATTCTGTTTGACTGTGGGTGATAAGGTGGTGTTTTGTATGGAATGCAGCAAATACATTTTAACCATGCACTTAAATTTTCTTCACAAAACTCAGGGGCTTTGTCAGAGAGCAAAGTTTTTGGAACTCCATTTCTCAAAAACACTATTGTCAACACCTGCTTCACAGTAGTGGCTTCTCTATCTGCAACTTTAATAACATCAGGCCAATCTGAATACAAGTCAACTAATATCAGAAATAGTCCTATACTTATAGGCATGATCCATTTTTTTAGCACACACTTTCACTTAATTTCTCAAAAGCAATCTCCATTTTTTTTTTTTTTCCATTGAAACTCTGTATTCTTCCTTATTTTGTTCAATAGCTCCACAAGGTCACTATATCACGGTAGATATAATATAGAAATTGGTTAATCTTAAAAATGACTTAAAAGTTTTTTGTTTTTTTTTATTTCTGGGTGCAGCTATCTCTAATATCTCAATGAGTTTGTCATCCCATAATATACCATCTTTGGATGTTTGATATCCTAGGTACAAAAGTTTTTCACAATTAAACTTGCATTTTTACATTGTTCGGACTATCATCCTCTTCTTTGTTGCCATATTTATCACAACATTTCAGCTGTTGTACACTTTGGCCTTTTCCAAGTGGTTGGAATGTCGAACTGAACCCTTTATTTTGCTCGCTGGGTAGACTGTTTTAGTTCCACATGCCATGTCTAATGGATGTCAGTTATCAGTTATCTCCTGTTAATTCCCATCTCCAAGTTCTCCACCGCCTTAGCAAGGTATTGAACTCGCACTCTTTGGGTCCTGTCACTGGATCTAATTAACACCTTTATCCACTGTGCCATGTGTCTTTGTAAACAGTCTACGCCAGTGAGCGAAATAGAGGGTTCAGTTCAACATTTACGCTGTATAGATGGTGGTGTAAAGAAAGGGATCATCTGCTGTTTACAACACTGAGCAAAAGACATAAGTGGCGACCCAGAGACATTAGATAAAGAATTGGTCAGTATAAGTAGTACCCTACAATGTAACAACAACCCTGGGTACATGGCACCCCCCCAAAAAAATATGGGTTAGGCGGATACAAGAGGAGGACAACAACACTCAGAAAACAGTCTGCCTGCCTTATGTGAAGGGGTTATCAGAGAAAATACAAAGGATCTGCGGTCCATATAACATCAGAACAACCTTCAAAAGCTGGATGACACTTCATAGACATCTCTCCCAAGTAAGACCCCCACAGAGGAGAACATGACTAAAAACTGTATGTACGCTATCTCATGCATCTACGGAAAGAAATATAAAGGGGAGACAGGCTTAAGGTAAGGCTTCAAGAACACCAGATAGCTGTAACATGAAGGGAAGTGGAAAAATCAGACGTGACTGACCACATATGGAGAGAAAAGGGAGATCACCGGCCTCTGTGGGGTCAGGTTGAGATCATAGACAAAGAACACCATTGGAAAATTCATAAACTTAAGGAATCAGCACTTATTCTAGGCCACAAAAATCTCCTGAGCTGACCAAGCATAGAAATGAATACAATATGGGAACCAGTAATAAGGAGTTCCAGAGAAAAGCGATAATAACAACAAAAATTGCAATATGAGCTCTGGTAAAAACATGAAATGATAACAGCAAGAATTGCAATATGAGCACTGTTAAAAAATGGTTGCTGAAGACATTAGATTTATAATACCCAGGAATTCATACCCAGATGTTCTCAAGGACACACGGCACAGTGGATAAAGGCATTAGTTAGATCCAGTGACAGAACCCAAAGAGTGTCAGTTCAATACCTGGTTAAGGTGATGGAGAACTTGGTGAGGGAATTAAGCAGGAGATAACTGATAACTAACATCCATTAGACATGGCATGTGGAACTAAAAGGGTTCAGTTTGACATTCCAACCACCTGAAGAAGGCTAGAGTGTACAACGGCCGAAATATTGCAATAAATATGGCGACAAAGATGAGGACAATAGTCCAAATAATGTAAATAGTGTACATAATACCTCATCTCAGAAATATAGACAGATGCATTATATCTTAAATATTTATGACTATGACCCTAGTTTTTACATTAATGTTTTGATTTTGTAGCAGTTTAGCTTTTCATCAACAACGATGTTAATTAGGTTTCAAAAATTGGCAAAAGCAAAACATTTTTTCAAATGTGCATGTTTTTTTTTTTTTTTGAGCGGCTCACTACATTTTTAACTGTTTCATTGTTTCATTTTGTATCTTTATTATTGTATTTGCACTTATCTTTTCAGTATTAAAAGATTATTAGATTATTATAGTGTGATTATTTTACTATTATTTTTTTTGTTGTTTTATTACTTTATTTGATAGTGTATATTCTACCCAACACCAAATGACTGAAAAATCCACCTTGAATACTACAACCCTTTGAAAAAAAAATTATGAAATCACTTCATTTAGAGGATGTTTATTCAGTTTTTTTAACATCAAAGCAAATAAACAAATTAAAGATACAGTGATTCTCAAAATTATCAACATGGTTCAATAAACAAATATTTTTGTGGGCATAATTAAATTTTAACATAGTAAAGAAAAAGCAATATTTTGATAAATTTACTCCAAATACATTTCACCCAACAAAAACTTTTGAAAATTATTTCAATAAAATGCAAATAATTAAACAATTATAATAAACAAAATTATTGGCACAGTTACAATTTTCTTATTTAAAAAAAATTAATGGATACAAATGTTTGAATTAGACATTCATATTTTTTTAAATGCTATGAAACACACAAATGGTTTCCCTGGTATTGCAAAAAGTTTTAACTTCATTCTGAATCCCAAAAATCTTTTCAAAAGAAAAAAATTCTGATATTTGATCAGATTTCAGTGAATTGAACTTTTATATAACCATGGTTTCTACTAAGATGGTTTTGTCAGGCAATAAGTTTTTACTGCCTGATGAAACCATCTTGATAGAAATTGTGGTTGCCCAAAGATCAGTTTTTCAGGTATTTTATATCTTAATTTTCCCTACATTTCCATTCTATGAAAATTCTATTGAGCACTCTCTTAATTTAGCCATTCTTTTGTGGAGAATATCACTTTTTCCCAAAGATTGAATTTGTATATATAAAATGGCTGGTTGTTCATTTCCAAGTACATCAGTTTGCTAGGGCAGCTTGCCAATCCTTGTTACAGATGCCTGCATAAACAGGAAATGCATGTGGCGGCTAAAATAAACAGGACATACAGGTGTCTTGCACCTTGAATAAACAGGATGCACAGGTATCCTAAGTGAAAGGAAATGCATGCTTGCATGACTGCATGCCAGAAAAGACGTGACCACACAAAGTTGCGTGGGTGAGATACCAGAAGAATGCATTGCCACATAAAATTGCATAGGTGCCCAAATGTTATATAATTGGTCCAATTTTTGATCTGGACAGAGAAGCTGGCTAGAGATTCACCAAAGATTTGTCTCTGTGAATGCATCCTAACCTCTGCGATTCTCCCTCACTACCTATTCGCCACAACTCGAACCTTAAAGAGATTATATATATATATATATATATATATATATACACACACACACACACGTCTGTTTGTGTGTGTGTCACTTTATTTGAGCCCAGCAGCAATATGCTACAGGCGGATTCTCCCATCAAGAACGGATGAGTTTTCAGTAAAGTTTCTGCTAAACAACCTGCATAAGTGAATGGTTTTAAAGTAGTCTATTGCTTATGCTCAGTAACATGCACTATCCATCATAGCAGCAGATCTTGTACTGGTGCACTCTGTGTCACATGATGCTACAATCACAGGGTTTTTCTTTTCAAAAAGGAGTTTTACATCTAGCTACATCTTTTGCCAACACTCTCCAGTCTTTAATTTTTGAGATTTGAAGCTTATGGCCACATCATGTTGAAACACTAGTTCTCATCCAAAGACCGAAGTTAAGCAATGTCAAGTCTGGTCAGTACCTATATTGGTGACCGCTTGAGATTACTAGGTGCTGTAAGCTTGGATGTGTGTGTAGTGTAATGGATAACAGCTTGGAATGAGAAACTCAACTAGAGTTTGAATACAGCTTATGGCCACATTGCGTTAAAACACCAGTTTTCATGCAATCACTTAAGTGAAACAATGTCAATTCTGGTCAATATCTAGATGGATGACTGTTTAGGAATACCAGGTACTGTAAGCTTGGATGTGCAGATAGTATAATAGATAACAGATCAGAATGAGAAGTTGGACAGCCATCCTTGAATTCCAGTCAAGTTTGTTACATTTACTTACACGCAAATACTCTTGGGTAAGGTATGAATACATCTCTCATTCCTCCCAGCTATGGGTAAATAACAGGACAGACTGGACCCTATAGCCTTCATTGGCAACCAATCTATGAGATATATACATGCACACACATAATGACAAAGGCTAGAAGATAAAAAAAAAAAAGTTTTTACAAACATGGGATCAAAACATCAAATTTCCAGAGCAAAGAATTGACAGAATAACAATATTTTCTATTCAAAATACCACTGAATACCATTTCTTGAGTCACTTGCTATGGTCAAATAATACTGAAAACATAGTTCTCAAATTTAAGTGTCAAGTCTGGTCAGTATTTAGATGAGGGACTGCTTGGGAACACTGGATACTGTAAGTGACCTCTTACAATCCCAAATATAATTTGTCTTGAAATAATCCACAAGGGGTTAATAAGCCATAAAAAAAAAAAAAAAATCAATCCAATCATTCTTCCCCCCACCCCTCCAAAAAAAAAAAAAAAAAAAAAAAATACCAGGATTCAGTCAGTCAAGCGGCAACAACTTAAAAGTGGGGTGATATTGTAACTTCTTAACACAACAGACTCAAACACAAACACACTATTTTTTTTTAATCATTTCACCCCAAGCAAGGCAATAAAGCCACTGAAAAGGAAGGGAGCCAAAATTCTGGTCAACTGATATGTTGACTGCTTGTCTGATAGTGAGTGTGTCAAGTATTTGTGTATCATAGAAGAGTGGAGATTCATTATCATTGATTTAGAAAGGGTGAATCAGATTTATAATTGTTTTAATTACTTTATTATAATTATTTCTGATAATGTAATTCATTTTTAATAGTCACAACATATTCCATTGGTAAGAAGGACGTTGCACTTAAACAGTTAATTCATTCATTGAAATTATGTACCTCAACAGATTTGCCAAAAAAATGAGCATACCATGATGAAAAAAAAATGCCCCAAACTTAAGTGTTGTAGTATACCTATAGACAATAATGGGTATGTCTCCTTTCACATAAATACAGTAGTAAATACTGTATGTTGGTCTAGAGTTGGAGATTCATTGTGGAATTCATTTGACTCACTTCTAGCAGTTGACTACTTTTATATGCGCCACTGGCAAATCTTATATATGTTGTTCTTGTCCTAAGTATTATCATTCATTATTACCAACCTTTGTTTGATTATTCTAGTATTTAGTAACCTTCTCTAGGTTACAACACTTAATAAAAACAAAGTTTTATTCTCAAAATCTTTGTTATTAAAAGGAAAGATCAAAGGAATTTTTGATTGTTAAATTATATTTTTTGATACTTTTTAGAATATTCTAAATTTTAGTTAAATATCTTGTTTTTCTTGGAGAATTTAAATCATTGAATAATAAGTGAATTGTAAAATAAAAAATGCAATTAAGACATTATTGAATTAGAAAAGCTTTTAATTGCTTTTATGAATAAAACATTAGATTATGGAAAATTTTCCTAAGTTTTTAAGAGTACTGGGTACTTAAAAAGTATATAAAATGGTGGTCACATTATATTCCCCAAGTAATTTTTACAGATATATCCACCATAGAAAAAAATCAGATAAACTTACATCGGTCAGTTAAGCTGTCAACACCAGAAATAAACACCTGCCGCAGTGTTAAAAAATGCATTCTGTGATATTTTAAACTTAAAGTAATATTTGTTTCCAACTAGATTAATTAAACTTTAAATCAGCTAATATTCCTCAAACAAAATAAAGTTTCAAAAAAGTATATTTTATTTTTTAAAGTTTTTTTTTTAATACAGAGAATTACATTATGATGACAGATTGCTAAAAATAGCACTCTAAAATGAGTGATTTTTAGCAATTCCAAAGCAAAACCTCCTTCCAGTCAATTTAGTTTTGACTTTTGGAAATTAAAATTAATAAAAGCTTCAAGATTTTTCATTTTTAAAAATTAATTTTAAACCTTTGGTATTGCATTTCTGTGGAGGTACATAATTCAAATATTTTATACTCTTCATTTTAATTGCCTGTACAAGCAATAAATCTTTGTTTATTCTTAATCTTACTTATTCATGAATATTTCAAAACCAAAATAAGAACACACACAGAATCTCAGTGTGGCTTAGCTAAGAAGACCAATTCCTCTAGTTAACCTGATACCACATCCCTGACCCAGTAACCAAGCAACCAGCTATCTTATTGACCAACTCCAATATGATAACCTCAATTTGACCTCTGAAACATTAAGAATGATACTATTACTTTTACAACTTAGTAAGTTCATGTCAGGCAATAAGAGAAAAGAAGTCTGTATAAAACATGGGTACCTAAACTAAAAAAAAAAAAAAAAAAAAAAAAGCATATCTGAAAAAAAAAAAAAAAAAATTGTTCAAACTTAATAAAAAAAATAAAGTTTTATCATCAAAATCTTTGTTTAAGAGGAAAGACCAAGATTTTTTGATTAGTAAATAAATTGTATATTTTCTTTTTAACCTTTTTAGAACGTTCAAAATTTTGATTAAAAATCTCTTTTCTTGTATCAAGAGAGAGACCATAAATTAGTATGGAAAATTTTAAACATTGGTACAAAATACAGTAGTAACATAAACAATTAGACGATAAAATTTTGTTTTCATCAAGTTTGGTGTCTTTTTCATCAGACTATATGCACTTTTTTTAGCAATCTCATGGATTACACTGACTTGAAAATATGGTAAAATTGCAGATTAAGCGATTGAAGTTAAACCAGTTGTAATGAAAATTTCCATTCTGGTGTAAATTTGCATGGTAATTTCGAAAATAACAATAAAAGTTTGCAGACAAAAACTGTTTAGGAGTTATCGACAATATTTTTACCATATTCATGTCTAGCCCAGCTGCCATTACTGGCATTGTTTACATACATTTGCCTGAGTAGTATGTATGGAAACATACTTAGTTAACAGCCTCTTTACTGATATTCTTATCTTACTCCTCTTGATTACTGCGTGTATTTAAAGTCCACACATTGTGCCATAATCAAGACAAGTGAAGCTTCCACACATGATTACTTGAGGCAAACATAAACAAAGCCAGTAATGGTGGCCGGGCTGTAGCCACAATGCAAATAAGGCTGAACTTATACTACCAATAACTCCTAAATGGGTTTTCTTCTGCAAACTTTTATCATTATTATTGAAATAAGCATGCAAATTTACATCAGAATGGAAATTTTCATTACAATTGGTTTCTAGGGCTTAATCTGCAATTTTCCCAAATTATTTTTGAAATCTTTCTTTTTTTAGAAAATCTTGGTATATATATATATATATATATATATATATATATATATATATATAATATTTTTTTGTTTAAAAAATGTTTCCTTCACTACATAAGAGTTCTCATGTTTCAAAAACGAGAGCCAAAATATCCAAATAATTATTAAAATTAAGTTGGATATTTTGGCTCTCATTTTTGAAACATGAGAACTCTTATGTAGCGAAGGAATCATATTTTTAAACAAAAAATATTATTATAATATAAGCTCTACTTCTGTATGGAGCACTGTCTTCTTAAAAATAAAAACAAAAAATACTAAGGAACCCCGGATTATGCACCCAACGTGTTCTTTTCTATTTTCTGCATACCTACGCACTTATACATATATATATATATTTACATTTACATATGTTAACCTCCTCTTATTTAAATTTATGAAATTGAGAAATTCTTTTATGTAGCACATAATATTTATATTATATAAGGACAAATCCACAAGGAAATTAAATTATCAATTTTTTTTTTTTGGTCTCACAGAAAATCTAATTTGAATCATAAAATGCAATAAAACTAAGACATTATTTAATTAGAAAGGCTTTTAATTTCTTCAAAAACATTTTAATTAGAATAATTTATAAACTTTTAAAATTCTGTATTAATTTGTAGTGGCCAAGTGATATTGTTATTAAATTAAGATTGTATTTATGAATCATAGATGGAAAAACTTACTACAATTCAATGACCCCTAATATTTTAAAAAGAATTTTGAATTTATTTTATGTGTGTATAAACATGTCAATTTTTGTAAATATGCTTGTCCAAAGATGACATTATCAGAAAATAATAGTGGTAACTAGAGTGAAGTTAAAATTTATTGATAATTTTGTAACATTTCCTCAACAAGTGTCATAAGTCTCAATATACCTAAAATTCAATAAGATATTAAATTGCTTACAATATTTAAATTTTTTAAGATTACTGTGTAGTTAAAAAAAATTATTAGATTATATTCATTTCATTGTTAGTTATATCACCTTTACAAAAAATTCACAAATATAAGTCTAGTCAGAAAATTGTCAACACATCATAAAAACACTAACCTCCATGTTAAAAAATGCTTTTCTGCAATATTTTAAATTAAAAATAATATTTGTTTCAAATCAGATTAATTAAGTTTTTTTTATTCGGTCAAGCTATCTCTGACATTCATGAGTCTATTACACCAACCATCAGTCCTGCATCAAGGTGGCCATTAGGGTGGCATTTACTATCATAACATATCTAGACAATGTAGGTAGTTGCTTGGTGACCAAACCATCTTGTGCCATGGCTAGGTGTACAGAGCAGTAAATCATTCGTAAGTTCTTGTTTTACCTGCTAGCAATGTCCTGCAAAATACATTATATGTTTGCATAAGATTGTAGAAATATCAGGGATTGATCCATAGAGCTGTGATTTAGTTGGATGTCGTCT